ACTAGGTCCAGGACTTTAACAATGGTCAGCCAGGTGAGAACATCCAGTGCCTTAACCACCACGCCACCTGCTGTCCCCATACCTGGCATGTTTTTCAAGTCACCAGGTGTAGGACTTGGCCTCACAATGGGCCACATAGGATCTTGTTGCTTTAACCAGCAGGCCGTGGAGTGGCCCCGCTGTTCCTCTCATGGCGGAGATGGTGGAGTACTGTTGCACTGTACGGATGAAGCCACGTCTTGTTTACCCATGCATCTGCAGATGGAACGGTGGGCCGTCTCCTCTGGGCTGCTGAGTGATGCTGCAGTGCACGTTCACCGTGTTTGGGTAGACACGTTTTCATCTCTCCTGGCAGATTCCTAGGTGTGGAATTGCCAGGTCGTATGGTAACTCCATGTTTAACGTTTGGGAAAACTGCCAGACTGCTTTCCAAAACAGCCACACTGGTCAGTGTCCCACCAGCACTACAGAGAGGTCCCAGATTTTTGGGACCAGCAGATGGCGTACCGGTTACGTCGCTGGACTCCCACATAGTTAACTGCAGCTCGAGTCTTGGACCCAGTGGCTTAAAACTCACACTGGGCACGTGTGCCCAAAATCCCAAGAGGAGGATGGAGAAGGGGTTGCGGCATCTGTCCTTCGTCGGTCCAGCGAGGGCATGCGCCCTATAGCTAAAAGCTCTCTCTCAAAAAAAAGAAAGGCCCCAGCTTTCCCACGTCTTCACCAGCTTGTTTCGCACTAACGTGATTGCAGCCATCCTAGCAGACGGATCGTATCTTTTTACATTTTTTTTAGGTTCTGGTTATAGGGTGCTTGTGCTCTCCAGAGAGACCGTGAGAAGGAAAGTGAGAAATCGCCCCCCAGAAGGGATGACCATGCTGCAATCCCCTCTTTCATTTTCCTCCTAGGATTTTGGGCACTCCGGTGTGACTTTCAGGTCGCCAGGTCTGGGACTCGAACATGCGGTCGGCGACGTGGGAGTCCAGCGCCTTAACCACCACGTCACATGCTGGCCCAGTAAAGTGATATCTTGATGTGATTTTGATTTGCATTTCCCTAGGAGTTGAGTATTATTTTCTATAAACATTTTTATTAAAGGAAAACATATCTGAATTTCGTTTAATTTCCAGTGGCTAAAGGATGTGTGTGCCTACCAGACAGAGAGAGAGAGAGAGGGGGGGAGGGAGGGAGAGAGGGAGGGGCAGCTCCTCTGGTGTTCCTAGTCCCTGTAGCGGCTTTATTGAGATACAATTCACATACCGTACAAGTCACCATTTTGAAGTGAGCAGCCCAGTGGCTTTAGCGTACTCCCAAGGTTCTGAATGTCCCCACCTAATTCCAGATGATTTTCATCAGTGCACGTCCCTGTCAGCCATCACTCTCCACCTCCCGTCTCCTCTACCCCAGGCGGTCACAGGAAGGTGGCACTGTGTCTGGATTTGCTGCTCTGGACACTCCGTGTAAATAGGATGTTAGCACACGTGGCCTTCGATGGCTGCCTTCTCTCACTGAGCGTGATGTAAAGGCTCGCTCGTGCTGAAGCATGTATTAGTACATCATTCCTTTCTTGCTAGGGAGTATGTGTACCTTCCAAAGACGGGGGGGTGGGGGTGGGGAAGGAGTATGGTCGCACCGCAGTCTCTCCACCTTTCCCCTCCTGCAGTTTGGGTACACACGAACACACACCTGGCATGGTTTGTTTTTGTTTGTTTGTTTTTGTTTTTTAATATTTATTTATTTATTTATATTTATTCATTCATTTATTTTAATTTGACCAGCGAGAGACACAGAGAGAGAGGGAAAGTGAGAAAGCAAGCCACTAGGTCCAGGACTTGCACCATGGTCAGCCATGTGAGAACATCCAGTGCCTTAACCACCACGCCACCTGCTGTCCCCATACCTGGCATGTTTTTCAAGTCACCAGGTGTAGGACTTGGCCTCACAATGGGCCACATAGGATCTTGTTGCTTTAACCAGCAGGCCGTGGAGTGGCCCCGCTGTTCCTCTCATGGCGGAGATGGTGGAGTACTGTTGCACTGTACGGATGAAGCCACGTCTTGTTTACCCATGCATCTGCAGATGGAACGGTGGGCCGTCTCCTCTGGGCTGCTGAGTGATGCTGCAGTGCACGTTCACCGTGTTTGGGTAGACACGTTTTCATCTCTCCTGGCAGATTCCTAGGTGTGGAATTGCCAGGTCGTATGGTAACTCCATGTTTAACGTTTGGGAAAACTGCCAGACTGCTTTCCAAAACAGCCACACTGGTCAGTGTCCCACCAGCACTACAGAGAGGTCCCAGATTTTTGGGACCAGCAGATGGCGTACCGGTTACGTCGCTGGACTCCCACATAGTTAACTGCAGCTCGAGTCTTGGACCCAGTGGCTTAAAACTCACACTGGGCACGTGTGCCCAAAATCCCAAGAGGAGGATGGAGAAGGGGTTGCGGCATCTGTCCTTCGTCGGTCCAGCGAGGGCATGCGCCCTATAGCTAAAAGCTCTCTCTCAAAAAAAAGAAAGGCCCCAGCTTTCCCACGTCTTCACCAGCTTGTTTCGCACTAACGTGATTGCAGCCATCCTAGCAGACGGATCGTATCTTTTTACATTTTTTTTAGGTTCTGGTTATAGGGTGCTTGTGCTCTCCAGAGAGACCGTGAGAAGGAAAGTGAGAAATCGCCCCCCAGAAGGGATGACCATGCTGCAATCCCCTCTTTCATTTTCCTCCTAGGATTTTGGGCACTCCGGTGTGACTTTCAGGTCGCCAGGTCTGGGACTCGAACATGCGGTCGGCGACGTGGGAGTCCAGCGCCTTAACCACCACGTCACATGCTGGCCCAGTAAAGTGATATCTTGATGTGATTTTGATTTGCATTTCCCTAGGAGTTGAGTATTATTTTCTATAAACATTTTTATTAAAGGAAAACATATCTGAATTTCGTTTAATTTCCAGTGGCTAAAGGATGTGTGTGCCTACCAGACAGAGAGAGAGAGAGAGGGGGGGAGGGAGGGAGAGAGGGAGGGGAAGCACCCCCATGGAGTGTGGCCATTCCACAATCCTTCCTCTTCCATTTCTCTGTCCTGTCAGGATTTGGGGCACACACACTTACACCCCTGGCGTATTTTTCAAGCTGTCGGATCCAAGATTTGAACTCTGGTTAGTCACATGGGATCCAGCTTCCTTAACCACTAGGCCACAGGGCTGGCCCTTCCATATGAGTTTTTACGTGCTTCACTAAGCAACAAAGAGGAACATAGGTGGACTTGCTACTGGAAAGTGATCTGGATACTTGGGGGGACTGTGGCGAGTGTGAACTGTAGGTATTACAGGTGTGGTTCCCTGGTGCCCTCGAGCGAGGAGGCAGGCAGGTCCTGTGGACTGACGAGAGGGGGCCTGGGTTATTCTGGACGTTGGAATTCTAATCCCCTTTCCACTCCTGGGCTCAGCCACTGTCTAGCCATTATGGCCACAAGAAAAAGAGCAGATGTGTGGCTTGCTGCGTGGGAGGAAGCTGTGTCTGCGGGAGCGCTCTGCTACCACCAGGGTCCTGCCGCTGAGCCTGCCTCCCCGTCTCACCCTTGCCCTCGTGTTCCATACATTCCAGAACGCTCTCCCTGTCACTTAGGCGTCCCTCCCCCTCTGCGCTGAGTCTTCCTAGGCGGGCTGGAGGGCTTCCTTTCTTCCTGTGTGGTTCCGTGGAGCAGGGCGAGGGTCGAGAGGTAGAAGGGAAGGACAGCATCAGCCCGTGATAAAGAGGTTTCTAACCGCTGGAGAGCCTGGGCAGGTCGCACAGAGGCTGGGGTGTGGCGTCAGGGGGAGTCCAGAGGAGATCTGACGTCTGCTGTCCTGTCCCCTCGCAGGTAGCCGAGAGACCGCCTTCACCTACGCGGTGAGTGCCGCGGGGGTGGTCAACGCCATCAGCCGGGCTTGCCGCGAGGGCGAGCTCTCCACCTGCGGCTGGCGGTCGGCGCGGCCCAAGGACCTCCCCCGGGACTGGCTGTGGGGTGGCTGTGGGGACAACGTGGAGTATGGCTACCGCTTTGCCAAGGAGTTCGTGGATGCCCGGGAGCGGGAGAAGAACTTTGCCAAGGGATCGGAGGAGCAGGGCCGGGTGCTCATGAACCTGCAGAACAACGAGGCCGGCCGAAGGGTAAGCCGGGCCTCAGCCCACTCCACACTCGCCCCTGGCTGGCCTTCACGGGGCAGCTGGTCTGACCATGGACATTCCTGCCTCCAGCTGCTGACCAGAGGCCGCATTATGGTTTGTTTGTTTGTTAGGTTTTTTTATAAAGTGCCTGCACTTGCTAGAGAGAGACAGAGAGAGGAAAAGTGAGAAGTCATCCCTGGGGAGGATGGCCATACCACAATCCCTTCTCATCCATCCTCTTCCCAAGATTTTGGGTATGCACACACATGCGCCTGGCTTGTTTTTCAAGCTGCCAGGTCTAGGACTTGAACTGTGTAGTCAGCCACGTGGGATCTGGTGCTTTAACCTCCATGCCACCTGCTGGCCCTGCAGTATTGTTTTTAAAGGATTTTTTAAAATAATTATTTATTTCATTTCATTTATTATTATTATAGTTATTTTAAAATTTGCTGTAGGGTACATGCGCTCACCAGAGAGAGAGGGGTAAAGTGAGAAAGCAAGGCAGCAGGTTGAGACCTCGGCCTGCAATCCGCCACGTGGGAGGCCAGTGCCTTAACCACCTTTCCTCCTGCTGGCCCCTGAAGGGTTCTGTGGATTTTTTTAAGAGAGATTTTTGTTATAGGGCACATGTGCCCGCTGGAGAGACAGAGACAGAGCAAGAAATCACCCCCCAGAGGGGAGGGCCATGCCGCAATCCCTTTTCCTCCATTCTCCTCTCGGGATCTTGGGCACGCACGCACATGTGCCCGGTGTGTTTTAAGCCACCGGGTCCGGGACTCAAACTGTGGTCAACTACGTGGGAGTCTAGCCATGTAACCATTATGCCATCTGCTGGTCCCAAGGATTTTTTTTTTTTTTTAAGTTTATTCTGTGAGTGAAAGGAACAAAGAGACAGCACCTCAGCAGGGTCGTGACTCCGTGCATCCCGCCAGTCTTAGCCAGCCCCAGGTCATGGGCACGTGCACGCCCGGCTCTCAGGACGGTCTCCAGGCGGGAACCCGGAAGCCCGTGTGTCAGCCTGGCAGAGTGCAGGTGGTGCTGCACTGGTGGGCAGGTTGCCCGCAGTACTGAATTCATGGCATCACAGTGCCCTACCTCCCGGTGTGCGTGTGGGTGTCACTTTTTAACCCACTGTTACTTCACTGCAGCAGTCTGTCTCTGTGGGGCCTCGATGCCGTGTTTGGGTCAGGACCCCAGGGGTGCGGAGTAGAGTTTTTGTCTTGACTGGCTTCTGTGGTGGTTGGAGCATAGGAGAGGACCAGGAGTTCAGGCCACGAGGCCTGGTCGAGGTCCGTGATCTGTGAAGGACTCAGGTACAACCAGAGCTGACTGTTTTTCAGTTCGCTGTAAGGCACACGCTTGTACCAGCGACAGAGGGAGAGGGAAAGTTACGGAAACACCCCCTGGGGGGTTGGCCACACTGCAATCCCTCTCCTCTCGGGGTTTTGGGCACGTGTGCACATGCAGCCAGCGTGATTTTAAGCCACCGGTCAGAGACCGGAACTGCACCCTCAGCCATGTGGGCTCCAGCTTCCTTAACTCTGCACCAGCTGCTGGCTCCCAGAGCTCACTTTTCAGAGCTGCTGTCACGTATACCCAGAAGCCCAGCAGAAAAGCACATTAAAGTACGAATGGCAAACATGCTTGTGGCCGGAAGCTTTCAACCTAAGCGGAAGTTTAAAAACTAAGGCAACATCCTTTAAGACTCACGTGAACGGTCTCAACAGTCTCCACGTGCCAGTTTCTGCAGAAGCTGAACCACGGGCTCATGGCGAGCAGGCGTGGTTACTGTGTGCGCAGAACGCGCCCCGCAGCAGCTTCGGCCGTCCCTCATGGTGTCCTTCTCTGCTCACCTCGGTGGTGACGACCTCCCTCTCCTGCATGTCCGGCCTCCCTTCTCTCTGCCATCCCCTCCCATGGTCGGCCTCTGCCTCCAGAAGCCGGAGGGATGGCCCTGCTTTTGAGTGTGGGACTAGAGGGCAGCGGGCGTCAGGCAGGCCGCCCGCGGGCACGCCGAGGTCTGTGCGTGGCGGGCGCTCTCTCCAGAGGCTCTGTCAGAGCGTTGTCCCCACCCAAGCCCGAGTCACCCAGCTGGCTCTGGGTCCTAGGAGATGTATCGCACTGAGACCAAAGACAAACTAATTAAAAATTGAGAACTGCAATTTCTTGAGATGAAATGTAGTATTTTTTTTGAGAGAGATTTTTGCCAAAGGGCATGTACTGGAGAGACAGAGAGACAGAAAGCAAGAAATCAGCCCCCAGGGGCGGATGGCCGTGCCACAGTTTGCCTCTTCCATTCTCTTGGGATCTTGGGCACACATGCACACATGCCCAGTGTGAGTTTTAAGTCTCTAGGTCTGGGACTCGAACCATGGTCGACCACATGGGAGTCCAGTTATATAACCATTACACCACCTTCCTGTCCCTTCTTGAGATGAAATGACAGAAACATTTTTTAAAAGATTTATTTTATTTAACTTTATTTATTTATTTTAATTTGACCAGAGAGGGACAGAGTGTGTGTGAGAGAGGGAGAGAAGGAGAGGGAGAAAGTAAGCCACCAGGTCCAGGACTCGAACTGTGGTCGGCCATGTGGGAGTCCAGTGCCCTTAACCACCATGCCACCAGCCGGCCCCAAGGGCAGAAACTTAATGTTGGCACTCTGGTGATTCGGAATATGGATCCATGTCTGAAAATATGCTTCTGTGTCAGAATTCTAAAACGTAAACTCGTGTTATAGGAGCACATGGCGAATAAGCAGAATTGGAAATACCTTTTGTATAAAGTGGAGTCCTGTAATCAGGGCTTGGTAGGGGCCCGATGGTGGTCAGCAGTAAAACACAGTGCTACTGCAGGCAACCCCACATAGGAGGTTTGGCAGTTCAGGTCCGGGCACCTCCCTGAGCACACCAGGCAAGCCTGTGTTCATGCTGAAGGTCCGTTGAGTCTAGGGGTGGATTGCAGGCTGGGACTCTGTTAGGGGTGCTGTCTCTTTCTCTCCTCCATGAAAGAAAGAAAGGTGGCGTGGAGGTTAAGGAGCTGGATCCCGCATGGCCAACTGAGTGATTCAAGTCTCAGAGCTGGCAGCTTGGAACTCACGCTGGGCGATGTGTGTGCAAGCCCAAAATCCTGAGAGGAGGGTGGAGGAGAAGGGCTTGTACGTGGCCGTCTCCTCCAGGGATTGATTTCTTGTTTTCCCTCTCGCTGGCTAGTGTGCACGCTCTATAGCAAAAACTGAAGAAAAAAAAAAAAAAAAAAGTCCAGGCTGCGTAGACTGGGCGCCACTGTAAACCTGGCCCCACACAGACGCCCGGTGGGAGCTAGCACCGGTTAGGCGCCTGCTGCTGTCCTCACAGATCCCGACTGGAGGCTAGATTTGTGAAGTTAGAAATGGGTGTGCACGGGCTAGCCTTCATCTGTGCTGTGTCAGGAGTTCTGGTCGCTGCTGGGACCTGCAGATACTGAGGTTTAAGCCAGGCAGGAAGACTAGAACCGTAGTCCGTGACTGCCACGTTGGGAGCCCTGGGCTCCTGAGGCCTCGCCTCTGCCTGGCATTTCAGTTGCCTGAGTCTTTGAGGGGTGTAACCTTGGGGAGTAGGGTGATCAACCTAAGGCGTTGGGATCTTCGGTTTATCTCCTGAGAGTCCAAAATCTACTCATTTTTCCAGACCCTAGTTCCAATACCACCCACCTACTCTTTTACGTTCTTTCCCGTCTCCCAAGGTTCAGTGGAACGTTTTCTTCTTTTCTTGAGGTATTTCCTCTGTACCAGGACCAGGATGGCCACCTGCACGTCTTTGAGCCCCCTCCCGTGCCTCTCTGGGTTGTGGGTGTGACGGGAAGAGGCCACATTCATGAAGCTGACTGCCACCCCTGCCCGAGCAGGACGAGCAGTCCTGCCGAGGGACAGCAGGAGACACCAGCTCCCCTTCCTCCATCTTGACCCCTCTTCTGCCGGCTCCTCACTTGACTGCCCTTAATTAGGTGTTGTTTGCACTGGGCCCTTATCTGGGCAGGCCTGCCCCCCCATCTGCCAGGTTTTAGGCACATACCTTCCGCCTGGCCCGTCTTTGCCCCCTGCTCGGGGCTCCACGCCGCTCCGTCTGCTCCAGGCTGGGAGTTCTTACCCACTGTAGGTTTTCATTCACTTTAAGGTGCATCACCCGAGCCCAGAGGAATCCGCCTCCCACCTCCTCGTGCCCTCAGGGACCGCGGGGCAGAGCGCAGTGGGGGCAGGGACACAGACGCTGCACTGGGTTTACGGCCGGGCTTGGATTTAACAGCTCACCTAGACTCTGCCGTCTCAGCCACCGAGTCAGTCCGGCACACTCTGCTGCACATTTCCCCTGGCCCTGGGTCTCTGGTAGCTCCATTTAACACACCGGAGGTAGGAACTTCCGTCCCCGAAGGGTTTCTAAGCATCTCCCAGAAAAAATCCTCGTGCCTAATCCTTGTGACAGTCCTGTCAGTCATCTGTCCTCACACCATTAGATTGAGGTGGAAGAGGGGCTTCGTCAGGGGGCAAGATGTGGGTTTTTGTGGGGTTTTTTAATAACCCAAGGGTGTGTGTGTGCGCCACAGAGGAAGAGGGAAAGCACCTCCCAATGGGACACTGCTATGCCACAGTCCTTTTCCCGCCACTTCTCCATCCTAGCAGGATTTTGGACATGCATACACGTGCATCCAGTGCGCTTTCCAAGCCACCGGAGCCGGGACTGGAACCATGGCTGGCCATGTGGAATCCAGCTACACACAGTGCTTCACCACTGCGCTGTGGAGTTGGGCCTAAAACACTTGTAAATACATTATGTTGCTTTTTGAGTTGGCAGGAAGGGCCAAAAAATGTGTGATTATTTTTACTTTTCTCCTACAAAAGAACTGTGTAAGTGTGTATTTGCGTGTTCACGTACCAGGAGTAAAACATGAAAGGAGTCCAGACCCGATGCCCCTGCGAGTCGTCCTGTCACAGTGGAATGACTGTCTCATGGAGGGCAGCCACAGCCTCCTCTTCCATGGTTTTACCAAATTCCTGTCCGTCCCCTGGAGGTCTGGCCCCGTCTCTCTCTCCCTCCCCAAATCCCCCTGAGTGTTTGCTTCGCTACAGATGCTTATCCTGCCCCCAGCCACTCGGCAGCTAGGTACACAGTCCTAGACCCTAATGCGTCCTCGCAGCTCCGGGACGCCTGCCCTCCTTAAGCCAAGGACCATTTCCAAAAGAATGCCGGGCTGCAGTGCAGACCTGGGATTTGGGCCCGAAGGGTAATTGCAGGTCCTGCCTTTGAAGTGCCTGTTGGACTGGGGTGTGAGTCCCTTTGTGTCTTGTCCTGGAGCAGCCAGGCTGAGTGCTGGTGCCTCCGCTTTGGAGAGGAGCCTTCCTTCTCCCCGCTAAGCCATGGGTAAGCCCCCAAGTAGAGTGCACAAGTCGTTGTTCCGAGCCCCTTCTGGGTGGCCCACAGGTCAACGAGCCTCTCTAGAGCTTCAGGTTCTCCACCATAAAGGAGAAGTAATTCCACCCGGAAGGGATCCGGAAGCGTTCTGACTATCCTAACGTGAACGATGATGCTTAGGCTGTTCTGCGCACCTGCAGGGCTTCTGCTTAGAGCTGAATACAGACAATCTGGGGACTCTCGAAAAGGGATCTAAGAGAAACCCTTGCAGAACGAGCCCTGACTCAGCTGGTGGCAACAGCCGTGGCCGGAGAACGCACAGCAGCGGCTCGCCCCCCCCCCCCCCGGGCCTGCTGCCAGGTTTGGGGCGCCGTGCGTCATCTGCTTTCGTTGGAAAGCACTTTGTGAGAGCTCTCTGGGCTCCCCTTGCTCTCCTTTCTGATTCGGGGTAAGCCAGGTTCAGGGGCACTCCACATTGGGCGGCATGTGTGTTTTCATGCATGGCCTCCAGGCAGGCCCACTCCTTGTCTCATCTCAGAGGCTTGCGCTTCCTCCCTCCTCCCAGCCTCTCCTGGGAAGTGTCAGGGGGCTGAGGTGGGAGAAAGTGGTCTTCCCATAAATAGGGTAGTTTAGGGCCAGCAGGTGGCATGGAGGTTAAGGTGCTGGTCTCCCACATGGCCAGTTGCATAGTTCGAATCCTGGACCTGGCAGCTTGAGAGTCACGCCAGGTACGTGTGTGTGTGCGTGTGCTCAAAATCCCGAGACTAGAAGAGAAGGAATTGAGGCTTGGCCATCTGCCCCGCCGGGGGTGATTTTCACTTTCCCTTACTCTCTTTGTCTCTCTCTGGTGTCTGTACCCTATAGCAAAAAAAAAAAAAAAAAAAAAAACAACGGATAGTGGATGGCTAGGCTCCTGACAGGTCTATGGAGACAGTGACCAAACCAAATAATAACACAAGAAAAGGAGCCACTTAATTCTTGGTATCTGACAAGATCAAGAACAGTTTTCTGAGGCCCCATAACAGTTACATTGTTGGACTCCCACATAGTCGACTGCAGTTCAAGTCCCAGACCTGGCGACTTAAAACACACTAGGTGCATGTGTGTGTGTGCCCCAAGTCCCGAGAGAAGAATGGGAGAGAAAGGATTGCAGTGTGGTCGTGCCCCCTGTGGGGTGATTTCTCCCTTTCGGTCTTTCTGTCCCTCTAGCAAGCACACATGCCCAACAGCAAAAATCTCCCTCTCTAAAAAGATTTTGGTAACTGAGACCAAAAGCCAGTGGCTTCTATTACAGCCTTGTCCTATGAATGAATTCTTCTTCCTGACTATTCTGTGCTGTGTATAAAAGCCAACCACATTTTGCCGGGTTTTATTTGTTTGTTTGAGACATTGATGAAGATGAACATATTTTTTTCTGATTGTAAAAATGACATATTTAGGGGCCAGCAGGTGGTATGGTAGTCAAGGCACTGAACTCCTACGTGGCTGACCACAGTTCAAGTCTTGGACCTAGCAGCTTGCTTTCTCACTTTCTCTCTCTCTCTCTCTGATGAGTGCATATGCCCTAAAGCAAATTAGAAAATAATAGTAAGTAAAATTGCATAAATAATTATTTTAAAGGAAACAGAAATGGTAAAGTAGCAAGTGAAACGCCCCAAATGCCACCCTCGGAGCACTCCCAGCATCCGAGGATCCTGGAGCGTCTTTGTGCACACCGGGCCCCCGCTTCCCCATCTGGTGTGCTTGCCCGTGGCTTCCCAGCCACCCTTTGGCCTCTCCCATCAGGGCCCCCGCTCTCACGGCCTCTCTCTCCTCCTCGCAGGCTGTGTACAAGATGGCAGACGTCGCCTGCAAATGCCACGGCGTCTCAGGGTCCTGCAGCCTCAAGACCTGCTGGCTCCAGCTGGCCGAGTTCCGCAAGGTGGGGGACCAGCTGAAGGAGAAGTACGACAGTGCCGCCGCCATGCGCGTCACCCGCAAGGGCAAGCTGGAGCTGGTCAACAGCCGCTTCAGCCAGCCCACCCCGGAGGACCTGGTCTACGTGGACCCCAGCCCCGACTACTGCCTGCGCAACGAGACCACGGGCTCCCTGGGCACGCAGGGCCGCCTCTGCAGCAAGACCTCGGAGGGCATGGACGGCTGCGAGCTCATGTGCTGCGGCCGCGGCTACGACCAGTTCAAGAGCGTGCAGGTGGGGCGCTGCCACTGCCGGTTCCACTGGTGCTGCTTCGTCAAGTGCAAGAAGTGCACCGAGGTCGTCGACCAGTACGTCTGCAAATAGCCGGGCGCCCGCCCCGCCTCCCAGAAGTCTATATTATGTAAATCTATATGAATATATTTTATATTTGTATGAATGAACGGATAGATGATAAATAATTAAAAGATAAAAGAGGAAAGAAATGCTTATTTAAGAGACGCTGCAGGTCTCGGAGGATTGGACTTTGGGAGAAGGCCTTTTTCTCTCCCCCTGGCGAGGACGCCCAGGACCTAGGGACTTGGAAATGGTTTCTGCCCCCCGCCTCCCCCACTCCCGGCGACCCTGAGGACAGGTCATGGTTAGGTGGAGGAGGTGATTTTGGTTTGCAGTCTCTGCTGAGCTGTTACTGCCCTGGGGCCCTGGGTACCGGGGCCATGAGGACTCAGGCAGCCTGGTACTTACAGAGTCTAGCCCGGAGTGGAGGTCAGCTCAGGAGGAGGCCCAGGGATGTCTTGCGGTCTCGTTCTTGTGGTCACTGGCAGCTACAGGAATGTTTTTTTCCCCCAAACGAGGAGTGGTCCACGTCCTGTCTGGCCCTGCCGGGAGAGCGGGCCGCCTCTCCCCAGGGCCCTGGGCCTGGCTTTCCAGCAAGGATCATTTTCTTTCAGGGTTCACCAGCTCCTGCGCCAGGCTCCCTGCATGAGGAGGAGAGGGGCCTGTTTGAGCTGGCGTGCTGGGGAGGCGTGTACCTGGGCTGCAGGGCCAGGCTCGCGGCCGGACTGAGGGGCCTGGCATTGCCCTCCCACGCAGGGAGAGGAGCTCGGGGGCCACTGCGGCTGCCTCCTCCCTGGAGGAGAGAGCCCCAGGAGGCTGCCCGGTGTCTCCAGCTGTGCCCCGGCTACAGCTTCTCGCTGACATTAAACACCCTTCCCTAACTTGGACACACGGTTATCTTTCTTGAGTCTTCTTTTTTTTCTTTTCTTTTAGTTTTCGTTGTAGGGAGACAGAGAAGGTGAGAACTCACCCCCAGTGGCTACACAGCAGTCCCTTTTCCACTTTCTTCTTGGGGTTTTGGGCATGCACACACGTGTGTTTGGCTCACTAACCAGTGGCAGGGGGCCCGCAGAGCTGTCCCAAGGTCGGGGAGTTAGTTTCTTTGTAACAGGCGGTCAGAGCATTTGGCTGAAATCCTATTCACTCAGCACCCAGGTCGGGAGTGGCTTTGTTTCATCCCCAAAGTCACTTACCTCCACCCTCACAAAGGAGCTGTTCCCCGGAGTGCCAGGAGAGGTGGCGTCGTCGGCGTCGGCGTCGGCGTCGGCGTCGGCGTCGGCGTCGGCGGTTGCCGCACACACTGAGCAGCTCCCTCTCCTCCCTCCCGCGCCCTGGCTTCCTGCCCGTCCTTCCGTCTCACGTCGGGCACGTGCATACGGGGGTGGAGGACACTCCCAGGAACCTGCATCCCAAGTCCTGGTTTACAGGCTCATTTCATCCCTTGCCTTCATTCTCTGAGGCGAGAAACAGCTGGCTGCTTGTATTCAACCCCACGGTGGTGACTGCCTGCTTCCTCGCTCCAGTTGCATCTCAAGCCTCGTCATCCCCAGGAGCGGGAGGGCCTAGCCAGGCATCCTGCGGTCCAGACTGCCACCGCTGCGGGGCTTTCTCCAAGAGAGGGAAGCTTGTATCTTGGGCACACCCAGAGGGCTGAAAAAAATAGCTGCTACCTTCAAATGGGCTTTGATATTCTGCCAGACACCACCGCCACGGGCCCACGCATTTTGGAAGAACCTCAGAGCGTGTGTGCGCGTGTGTGTGGTGTGTGCGTGTGCTTTGCGTACACCCGTGCACGCCACACAGGAGTGAACGTTTCTCATTAATTTGGGGCAGGGGTGGAGAGGCACTGAAATGTATAAGAAATTAAAAATAACTGACCACTTCAGCTGAGACGCTGCAGGCACGACTCCTCTACCTTTATTTTTTTATGTAAGTTTTTAAAAAAAATTATTGGGACCAGCAGTTGGCATAATGACTATGTCGCTGGACTCCCATGTAGTCGACTGGGGTTCGAGGCCTGGACCTGGTGGCTTAAACTCAAGCCGGGCACATGTGCGGGCGTGTCCAAGATCCAGAGAGGAGAATGGAGGAGAAGGGATTGCGGCGAGGCCATCCTCCCTGGGGGTGATTTCTCGCTTTCTGTCTCTGTCTCTGTCTTTCTGGCCAGCACACACACCCTATAGCAAAAAAAAAAGAGAGAGAATTATGTATTTAATGTTATTGATTATCATTATTATGATAAAATCTAAAAATAATAACACAATTTTCTTGTTAGAGGACACGCGTGTTCTCCCCCGCAGAACAGCTTCCTCTGCCCCTCTCTGTGGGAGATAGGGCGGCTGGCAACTTAGCTAAGCTACGGGCCCAGCCATAGAAAGTGACTGAGTCTCCCCTGCCTGTCCCCATTCCCGGCAGGGCCCTCTCCGTGCCCGGCCTTGGCAGCAGCTCAAGTCAGGCAGAGGACGGAGGGCTTCGAGAACGCATCGACCGGGAGGCGCTGCTGACGCCTCGTTTGTTTCTGGCGCGGTCCTGAGAAGGCGTCCGCTGGTGTGATGGGGCCTCCAATGGGTGCTCACCCTGGAGATGCCCGTGATGTTTTAGGGAGGAGTCCTTTTATCCATGAAACGTGTAACTATGGGAAAGTCCCGAGAACTTTCTAAAAGAAGTAAAACTTGAGCCCAGGAGTGTGGCGAAGGAAGCCCTGCTCCCTAAATAGCCCAGGATGGACCAGCAGTTGGCATGTCTGTGGGGTTGAGGGAGCCCAGTCACCCGGAGGCAGAGCACGAGGTAGCTTCAGTGGCAGGGCCCGACCCCCCCGCCTGTAGACACACGCTTTCATCACACAGAGCCTGTTCGAAGGCCAGTCTTCTTGTTCTTTTTGCCATAGGGCATGTGCATGTCATGAAGAGAGACAGAAAGAGACAGAGGGAAGGTGAAAAATTACTCACCAGGGAGGACGGCCATGACACAAGACCTCCTCCTCCATTCTCCTCTTGGGCTTTGGGTACACACACATGCCTGGCGTGATTTTCAAGCTGCTGGGTCTAGGACTCGAACCACAGTCAGCCATGTGGGAGTTCAGCACATTAACCATCAGACTACCTGCAGACCCCCAAGGGCAATTTTTTGAAAGAATTATTTATTTAATTTTATTTATTCATTCACTTATTTTTAAATTTGACCGGAGAGAGAGAGACAGACAGACAGAGCGAGAGAGAGAGAGAGAGAGGGAAAGTAAGAAAGCAAGGCACCAGGTCTGGGACTCGAACCATGGTCAGCCATGTGGGAGTGCTCAGCGCCTTAACCACCACACCACCTTCTGGTCCCAAGGGCAATCTTTTTTTTTTTTAATTAAGGATATTTTCCTTCTGACACTACTAAAGGTCTTCAAAAAGTTCATGGAACATATTGTATTGATTTATTTTCATAATATTTAGAAGGCTTATATTTTCTTTTCTTTTTTCTGTTTTTAGTTTTGTTACAGGACATATGCACTTGCCAGTGAGAGAGAGAAGGAAAAGGAGAAACCCTCCCCAACTCTCCTCCATTCTCCTCTCGGGATTTTGGGCATGTACATGTGCCTGACACCACTTTTTAAGCCACCGTATCTGGGGCTCCGACCACACACTCAACCGTGTGGAATCCAGTTCCCTTAAACCATGCCACCTGCTGACCTAAAAATTGCATAGACTTTTTCATTTAATTTTCTAAATTTTGCTATAGGCTGCATGTGCTTAACAGAGAGAGAAAGAAAAGTGGGACCAGCAGGTGGCATAATGGTTACATCGCTGGACTCCCACATGGTCAACCATGGTTCTAGTACTGGACCTAGTGGCTTTAAACTCACACCAGGCACATGTGCATGTGTGCCCAAAATCACAAGAGGAGAAGGGATTGTGGCATGGCCATCCTCCATGGTGGTGGGGGGGATGGGGATGATTTCCCTCTCTCTCTCTGTCTTTGTCTCTCTGGTGAGCACACGTGCCCTATAGCAAAAATCTCTCTCTGAAAAACAAAGAAGAGAGAACCAGCAGTTAGCGTAATGGCTATGTTGCTGGACTTCCATGTAGTTGACCGCGGTTCGCGTCCCAGACCCGGTGGCTTAAAACTCACCCCGGGCGTGTGTGCGTGCGTGCCCAAGACCCCAAGATGAGAAGGGATTGCGGCGTGGCCATCCCACCTTGGGGATGATTTCTCATTTTTTATCTCTCTGTCTCTGTCTGTCTGTTGAGCGCACGCGCCCTATAGCGAAAAACCTCTAAAAAAAGAAAAAGAAGAAGAAAGAGGGGAAGTGAGAAATCACTCCCTGGGGGGATGGCTACGCTGCAATCCCTTTTCCAGTCTCAGGATTTGGGGCATGCATGCACGGGCGTCTGATGTGGACTGAAACTGCAGGGTTGGCCATGTGAGATGCCTCAACCTTAACCCCATGCACCTGTTGGCCCTCAGAAAAAGATTTTTACTCCAAAATAAATTCCCGCTTTAGTTCTATTTCTCCATGAACGTTTTGACGTCGTCTTGGAAGACTCTACAGTGTCGACTGCGTCCTTCTGACCATCCTAGTTCCTCGAGGTCTGGGTATGTCCAAAAGGAGTCTAAGAGACGTAAGCACTGGAATTTTTCTGCACCTCCATAGCTCTTGAGGGGCAGCACAGCAAACACGGAAAACGTAGGCCTCAGGGCCATCAGCTGCGTGGTGGTGAAGGCGCTGGACTCCACGTGGTGGGCCACAGTTCGAGTTCCAGACCTGATGGCTTGCTTTCTCACCTTCCTTGCTCTCTCTCTGGTCGAATTAAATAACAATAATAATACGTAGGACAATTATTTAAAAGAAGACAGGCCTCACAGCTAACCTCCTGTTGTACTTTTTCGATTTGGCCTCACAGGCCATCTGGGCCTCAAATCATAGGCTGTGGACAGGAGGACACGTCCGTAACCGGGGAGATGGTCCACTCACATTTGCAAGGTGCTGTTTCCTGCCTCATTTTTTCCTCCAACTTGGAAATAATTTTTTTTCATTTTTAAAGGATTATTAATTTATTTTTATTTATTATTATTATTGTTATTATATTTAATTTGACCAGAGAGAGACGGGGGATGCCACCAGATTCAGGACTTGAACTGTGGTCGACCATGTAGGAGTCCAGCATCTCAACCACACGCCACTTGCTGGCCCTGGAAAAAAATATTTATTCATTTATTTATTTATTTATTTAGATTTATGTTTCAAAAGAAATTTAAATGGAACTAACAAGGCGTCTGCTGATCTGACAGAACGGCCCCAGCAGCACCTCCTGAGACCGTGGATCACTCGCAGCCGCGCTGGACCGGCCTGCCGTTCTCGTGCTTGCCACACGGTCTCGCTCCAGCGCTGGCTGAGCGTCAGCGGCTCACAGCCGGTGCAAAGCTGGGTGCAGGGTCCTGGCGGGTGGATGGCAGAAAAGCACCGGACAGCCGCAAGGCTGAGCTCGGAGTGTGCGTTTGGACCGCTCGGGAAGAACTAGGTCAGTCCCAGAGATCCAGTGAGAAGGGTAACAGAGGAACGAAGGCCGAGGGGGACCCTAGGTGGGGGCAGGAAGCTACTGGACGTCAGCCGTCACCCTGGGACACTGCAGCACCTGGGAGGCGAACCAGCGCGCCTCGGCCCTGGGTCGCTTGGTTCCCTGTTCCCGTCATTCCCAAGCAGCGAGTACTGGCACTCCCGAAGGGCACCCTCGGGGAGGGGGCGTGATTTAGCTGCCGCGTGTGGAGCCCTCACTGTGCACGAGCTGCTTTCCTATGTCCAGTGCCACCACCTGGGCCTCTGCAAGGCGCGGTTACCGTCCGCACGCCCGGTGGGCAAGTCAAGGCTCAGAGGGGTTAGATGCGGTCCTGCAGCTCTTCCTGGCTCCTCAGTGGGCGTCTGGGTCATTGCAGGAATCCGGCC